AAAATTTTCTCTAGAGCTTTATTAGAACCATCTAGAATTCGTTTTTTCTTTAGAAGAACATTTACAGTTACTGGCCATGATACAATCATTTTGTTAAAGTTCTTTCTTGTTATGTAAAGGCAAACGCTGACAAGTTGATGTGGTGTGTCTCAAAGTTAGTTTCCAGAGTTACTTTTGATTTCGTTGTTGCAATGGATCTAAATAAAAAAATTTTAAAAGTATTTGAATGATCGTATTTACATTCCATTTTGGTTTCGAAATTGATCTAAAATAAAAGAAAAATAGGTCTTTTTTTATAGGTTTACATTTACTGCTCTAGCCTCTTACAAAATCGTCAATTAATCGCAGTTATTCAAATAATCACTGGTTAAGTGCGATTTGTCGGTATTTCCTTAAATCACTGATTGAACACGATCAACTGATGATTTTGACAACATAGGTTGTTTCATCTATCCTTGATGATTCTCTTTATTCTTTCTCGTTCTGCGTCTTAATTTCTTTTATCATTTATTCTTTTGAATGTTTTCTTTTCTTTTCTTGTACTATTTATTAGAAAATGGCTAAACAAAAGCAAAAGTAGACAAGGCACTAAAAGCACTGAATAGGAAATAGATCAAAAGGAGTTAAATAACTAATAAGACTAATATTGTTAATAGTTGTAAAACTTGATAGAGCAAAACAAATTTGACTCAGTGGAGTTCTTGTTTCTAACTTTTATCATAAAGCATAACTAATGTCGCAATTCATCTACGTATAAAAAGGACTGTTTTTTCAAACTTAATAAAAAAAAGTCTTGTTTTCTTAACTGATCTACAAGTTTACGATACATTCTAATGATCTCAACTATATGTCGATCGAAGTTCAGCTCAAAAACAATCCTACAGTATTAGTGAAATTAGCATCCACCCTAATGTGACACAATGTTTGTAGAAATAACCATTAAGAGAAGCACATTCGATGCATCAGTCACTACATTAAAATAGTTATTATTTTCAACTAAGTGGAATCTGTTTCTCTTGACTCCACTGGATGAATGAAGTCACCTTGCTATTTCAACGACGATCTGACAACTTTGATCCAATCTTTTATATACGATTACATAGTCGACAAGTAACATGTTGTTTGAGAACTATGATGTGAAAAATTTTTGATTCTACTAATTGGATAATG